CTCCAGAGGGCCTCCGAAGCCTGGGGCAGGCCGTTTTCTCCCTCCTGTGGGCTCGAGGGAAGCCTCTGCAGCCTCGGGAGGCTGAAAAATGGGCCCGTTTCGTCACTTCCTGTATTTCCGGAAGGTCCGTTTTTTCAGCTTCCCGAGGCTGCAGAGGCTTCCCTCGAGCCTCCGGGAGGGCGAAAATGGCCTCAAACGGCCCGAAAATCAGCTGTGAGGCACACGCACGCGCAGTGCAGGTAAGTTTGGCTGGGGCTCGCGCGCCCATACAAATGGCTTTGCATGCCATCACGGGAGTAGGGGGTCTCTTTGAGGAGGACAAGGAGAACATCTCGTTCCCAAGCATGGTCCTTCCCACATACCGGTTTGGCCCCCCCCCTTCCAGAAGACAAGCCCCCCCCCCAAGATGACTTAATCCCCTCCCCGTAAACCCCCATAATTCCCTCAGAAAACCAGGAAGTCGATGTCCCCGACTGTCAAATTTTGAAAAGAGCTCCAAAGTTGAGGTCAAAACCAGAGTGACGTGGAGGCTCTTGAAATCTTCCTAACCAAGAGGTAGTCCTCGACTTACGGCCACAACTGAGCCCAACATTTCTGTTGCTAAGCGAGGCAGCTGAGATTTGCCTGAGGCCGTGACCACGCTTTGCCACAGCCGTTAAGCGAATCACCGCCATCGTTGAGTGAGTCACACGGTCGTTAAGCGAATACGGCTTCCTCCCTTGGCTTGCCAGAAGGTCGCATAAAGGGAATCACGTGGCACACACCTGCCCCCTGGGACACCGCAACCGTCATAAATAGGAGTCTGTGGCCAAACGTCTGAATTTTGATCACGTGCCCACGGGGAAGGCTGCAAAGGTCGTAAGTGTGAAAAACGGACCGACGTCGCTTTTTTCAGCGGCATTTGATCTCTCAAATGAACGGTTGTCTAGGTAGATTCTCAGTCCTTCAGGAGTCAGGGTTGTCCCAAAGGTGCTTTTTTTCCTCAAGAGGCAACTGGACTTTCTGGTTTTTTTCTTGGAAGACGTTTCGCTCCTCATTTGAGAAACTTCCTCAGTTCTGATCGGATGGTGAAGAATGGAAGGATTGATATTCCTTGCAGACAGCTGGTCATTTGCATCCTTTGTAGAGGGTCATTGAGGCCACTTGGAGGTTTATCTGTAAGCCTCAGGGTCACCTGAATGGTGCAAATGGGTGTGGAGCCTTCTGACTGGATGTTGGGGAACGGAGGGATTGATACTCCTTGCAGACAGCTGGTCATTTGCATCCTTTTAGAGGGTCCTTGAGGCCACTTGGAGGTTTATCTGTGTCTTCAGGGTCACACCTGAGTGGTGCAAATGGGTGTGGAGCCTTCTGACTTAATGGTGGGGAACGGAGGGATTTATACTCCTTGCAGACAGCTGGTCATTTGCATCCTTTTAGAGGGTCATTGAGGCCACTTGGAGGTTTATCTGTAAGCCTCAGGGTCACACCTGAGTGGTGCAAATGGGTGTGGAACCTTCTGACTTAATGGTGGGGAATGGAGGGATTTATACTCCTTGCAGACAGCTGGCCATTTGCATCCTTTTAGAGGGTCATTGAGGCCACTTGGAAGTTTATCTGTGTCCTCAGGGTCACACCTGAGTGGTGCAAATAGGTGTGGAACCTTCTGACTTAATGGTGGGGAATGGAGGGATTTATACTCCTTGCAGACAGCTGGCCATTTGCATCCTTTTAGAGGGTCCTTGAGGCCACTTGGAGGTTTATC